GTTGGCGAGACATACAATATGATTGTTGAAACACTGAAAATAGATAGTGGCTACTTACTCGGTAGCATTTCTTGATGTGGAGTTTCATACGTGGCCAGCATTGTTGACACTGGAAATGTGCCCCGTTATGTTGGTACCAACTTAAATCTTCGGTCGATTTTGAACTGTTTATGATCTTCCGAGAAATGAGTGATTTGTCTGCATTCGAAATCCGAACTGTTCTACTCTTTTGATCCCACTCTTTGTGTTCCTAACGATTCAGTGTATTGTACGCACGTAGAATTTGTCATGTTTTGTTGATTGATAACTTAATTGCACCGGATTTCGCCGCCTAAATTGAGTTTGATGCAGATACATTGCAATGTAGATGAAACTGATAGAATAATAATCCCCTGTGCGATTATCGTTCCTATCGTTTAGACAGAGGCGAACACACCTGACATCAGAGTCTATCATATGATGATAATGAGAAGCAGTTGAGTGAGACAGGGCTTTGTTCAATTTGAGCACTTGCGCAGGTAATGGACTACGGTTTGCCCAGACGCCTATTGGTCAAGTTAATTTGTATGTACTTGCTCCGTGGGTTGTATCCTGTGAAGTTTCATCTGAGGTAGAGAAATCCCAATTCCGGTTTTGGAATTGCGCTTATGGTCATTTTATGGTCTTGTTCCATCATGAATGAACTCATTTGTCCGGGGGACATACCCTCGATGTCAGCTACATCTTCTGCGTTCGACTCATACTCATAAGGCAATAAGGTACTTTGGTAACTGAAAACTGGTCTAATTTAATATAATCAGCTTGCTCAATGCGTTACAAAGGTTATCTCGCATCTAGTGTCTTTTTAAAGAAGATAATTTAGTATGAAACTATTGATCACGGGGACATTTGCACCTCTGGCGTTTCAGTAGGGAGGGGGGGGGGAATCATTGCCCTTGCATGAACACCAAGAACCTGAGGTTGGAGTTGTTTTGTTACTTCTCCAGCTACCATCATTGAAAGATAATCAATATTTAAGCCAACAGTCCATGTTTCAAGTCACCCAGGAGAAATTAACAATCATTACTTAGAGCCTTTCGACCTCAATAGAGAGCAATAACAATGATAATTTTGACCTCTTATTCCGGTTGCAAAAAGCGTATTATCTATTCTCAGATATGAAATGAAACGCGAATAATTAAATTCTGCGAAAACGATAATAATGTCTAATGAATGTGTCGGAAATGGGGCCACGTTTGAACCGAACAAAATCCCGGAAATCAACTCAGATTACCTTCTATCCGTGGCTTGAGCTGCGCTTTGTCACTTTGATGTCGGAGAGCTGTGGTATCTTTCGGCCCAAGACCACCTCTGTCTTTAGTGGAGGATCACATGTGGTTCTCCCTCTCGCAGTACACCTGCCCGTTCCTGTGATCAGTTCTCACGCTACGGTGTGAATTGAGCAGCGACTGTCTGATCAATTGCATCGATCACTCCAGAAAACATTAAAGTAATGCACGGTTGATCTGTACGCCTGTTCTGCAGTGATATAACACTAGAACGATCAAGTTATTTGTGGGTACATTAACCAATACTAAAACGTGAATAACCTTCCTGTTTTTCTAAAAAAGCACGTTCAGCTTTGTTGATTCTCCCTACGTTAGGTTTCGCATGTTTCACCCAAACGGTTCACCTTCTACCAACTCATCAACCTGTTTTTTTTTCGGAGCCGAACGACAAGGTGTTCGCCTATATACCTATAGTGGTTTGTGTTATCTTCTCCTTCCCACGCAGACTGGCAACCAAATCTCGGACCTTTCAGGTTCTGCGATTGCAACAAGTTAAATTGCTACTAGACTACGTTTTCATATCATGGCCGGGCTTATCACCCGTACAACCTTTGAGACATGTGATCATGCGGGCAACAAACCAATAACCTCCTTTTTGATTACGGGGGTTGAATGTGCAAACTGCCAGAAGTAGTTTGCTGGCAGTGTAAAATCCAAACTGTAAACTGCGTGATGCACAGCACTACCTCTTGCATACAGGTACAACCAGAGAAAGAGAACACCACCTTGGTTGCTTTTAACACACAAATTATCTGAAAATGCAATCGCTTGATTTCATTTGATGATTCATTATGTTGTCGTTTTACAAAACTCTATACACCCAACGCTTCTAAGGATAGAAAACGATGGAAGTTCCTCTGCTTTCTCGGGTGATCTCATTTTATTTGAATAAACAAATATCCTTTTGCTCAAAACTGGATACGGCTACAAAAGTGACAGTTTCCGCTGCCACAGAACCTCTGTGAAAAAGTGTGTTTGCCCAACCATCAATGTGGCGTAAATTTGACAGACAACACGTTCTACGTATATTCCTCACGCTGTGTACGACCCGCTGATAGCCAATGGATGATAGGAAATTCGTATTAGATGTTACCGCGCTGATTGTGTGAAAATACTTCCTTCGAAACAATTAGTGTGGCTGAAGCAAGGAGCATTTTTTCTTTATTCCGTTGAAAAATGCTTTGTGCGATTACTGAACCAATGAACAAACGTTCAGACCGGAGTAACTCACAGTGAAACAACGCATTATGGAAATAAAACGGAAGAGATATACTAAATCGGGATGTCACAATCGAATTAGTATTCTGTACCAATCGTGCACTGCTTTATTGTGCTGGCTATGCCACCCTGTGGATGCCCTCCCCTTAAATCCAAATGACTTGCAACCCGATGTACACGGCGTTTTTACATTTCCTTTGCACATGTTTTTCTTTACATAGATCCTCACCTCTTCATTTGTGTCCGGTGCAGCGGTTCCGGATTCCGCGGAATCCGTTCATGAGCGATACACAGCATTCGATCCGGATGAATGTGACTCGTTTTCGGATCGTTGGTACACGGACGACCGCGATGAAGATCCGCATTCCTATGCATGGGAAGAATACTTCTCCGGTGAGTGATCCAGTCAAATTCAGACTGGATATATATGTATATTCACAATCTGTTGTGTTTCTCTGCCACCTCTTATCTTATCGTCTCCCCCCTTCAGTGACTATATTGTGTTTATATTTCACGTGATGATGTGACTCAAACCGGCAGCACGCCCAGTAAAACAGAATAGCATATTATTTTTATTTTTTTACTTCCTTTTTAATTTATTGAATATACAAATGCACAGTTAACTTTGAGGAAGGGTGCTGCGGCCACACAAAGGCTGCCTGGGGAAATACCTAAATAGGGAATACGGGCGGCGGTGGAGCGGTTCGACTTCTGGGTCACAATTTGGTGACCTAACCACTCGGCCACCCATGAATAGACAAATCGTTCTGATTTATGAACCGAAGTAGGCCTCGTTATAAGAATTGTTATTTGGTCCGGACGGGTATCGAGCAAACCGATTTATATTCCCCCGGATTCGCTCATTAGAATCGACCCCATCATTATGCATGCCTTATGTCCGCTGCTGCATCAATGTGTCCATATCCGCGGGTTCGCTTGAGGCTTCCAACCAGTAGATGCTTGTCTAGTTGATAGAAGCTTCCACGTAACCGCAACAGGATGGGCACACCTGGGTTGTGCTTGAGGCATTCTAGGGTTTTTCTCCTTTCGCTGATGATCCCTTAAGGTGTATTGTGTTATGTGCCTTTAATTCAACTCGATCCGATAGAGTCTATCCACTAGCCAAACATGAAGGCAGGTTTTTCATGTTCACCTGCACATATTGTAAAGGGGATTTAAAATGATCCAAGTCATTGAATGGATCGTAACAGAACGCCTTTTTTATGCAGCTTCAGTAAACCGGACATCTCTGGTGTTTGTGTTCCCTTCAGGTGTAAACATTTCGCTAGTGATTCTTGTATAAGGTTCGTCTCAGTTAAAGTTTTCAGTTCTGCACAGGTTTTCTTCGCTAATTTGCTTGGATCGTTTGGAGTATTGTCAAGCTCAAACTTTGTTTTCGTCTGGTAAGGTACAAATCATCTTTTCTCTGTAGTGTAATTTAGCCATGACTACTACACCGAAACACCTATCTTGGCACAGTACTACAATATTTCGATTGGCTTTCAATTGGTTTAGTCCTTCAATGTGTGCATCCGTCAGTTTAAGGCGAAATCGGTGAATATGGAGAATCAATACCGAAATGCAAACACAAAACAAAACTCCTTGCTGACCCATGCATACATCGAAGAACTAAAGTAATTGAAAGCTAATCGAAATATTCTGGTGCTGCGCCCCGATTAGGGTTCCGATGTAGTAGTGCTGGATAAGTCACGCTACAAAGAAAAGATGATGCATATCTTATCGGACGAAAACAAAGTCGATCCAAGTGAATTAGCGAAGAAAATTAGTGCGGAAATGAAATTGCAACTCAGGCAAACCTTGAATAAAAAGTAAATCACCGAAGTCGTTTTCAACATTGACATCTTGATCGATTGTTTGTAATCTCCTCAATTGCGAACAAGGGTGAATAGTAGAACTTTATAGCCCTCGCTTTAAGAACATTTGAGGTTGTTGATTCCGTTGTGGTTCATTGGTTCTCAGTTGGTGGCCTAAACCAATGACGATTCTACAGATTTACTTATCCTCCTTTAGCCTTGTCATAGCCAAATTTGGCCTAAACATATCGGAGTAGTGTTCAGACTAAAATAACGCTTGTCGTATCATGCGAGGTGCATGTAAAATACGTGTATAGGTTTCAGCGCTGATGATACGACAGACTTCTACGCCAAACGGGAACTCGGGAGCTTCAAATGGATCGATAAGGGGTTATGGTCGTAAAAGCCTGAGTAGCGGAGCATATTTTTAGCTGAATTTTTGTATTCAAGCTCAGTATTCTCACAGTAGACTTGATTGAACGCACTGTTTAGTTTAAAACAATTTTAACTGAAGGGTTTGTGAAATCCGAACATCATTTTCTCACATTTTACGACCGTGCTTCGTTCTTTCTTTTGTGAAATTGGTGACAATCATTGCCCCATAAGATACACGAGGAAAGGACAAGAGGTTTTATAAAGCTAGTTATATTAGATCACTACCCAGTACACCTAATTTGCACAAGCTTTTCATACAAAGCCAGTTTATCAAACTTTGCTGCAAGGCAAGTGTGTAAAATACGATTAAAGCGAAACTTTTAACTGAAACCACTTTCGCTTCCGAAAGCCATGAGATTACCTCTGTGGGCTTCGATTGCCATGCCTTCAGTGATTTGGCGTGATCCGAAAGCCATTTATCGATTGTCTAGCGATTAAACGCTATCCGAATTTCACATAGCGGGCCTATTTAATGTTGCTAAATGCCCTTTCGTTTGAATTTAAAAATACAATTGTAATCTTTAAAGTATTTGGTTTAGTGATTCACGCATATACCTGAGTTCACTGCGACTGCAAGAATCGGCTCGTTGTCAAAACCAGCTATAGTCTCAATGCTTGACTGTTGAGTATGCACTTTTACGGATATGTGGCAAGAACATCATTAAGTGCATGCAAGAACAACTTAAGAACAACAATCAAGTCTCAAACTTCAAGATTCTACCATATGAAGAACTAAAAATAATTTTCAGTTTCAGACGGTTCTTAGATGGGGGAATTGCTTGCAGCTCCGGGTCGTTTAGGATTTCTCATAACTTCTACGGCAGCAGATATTGTAGTCGGTTTCGCCGACGCACGTGCAATCTGAGAATATACGGTCCGGTTTATAAAAACCCTGTAGCGTGTGCGCTTGGACCTGGTGGAATTCACATTTCATTCCATGCGATGAACGACCCGTTTCTCTCTCTCTCCGTAAGTAGTCTCCTGGTTTTCACATATATCAGCATCCATCGCCGTTTACTGTCAACTGGTCTGGGCATAAAACCGTGAATTCCTTCTATCTGAATCACGTGTCATTGTACTGCGGAAAAGACCCGTCCCAAAATAAGTTTGCCGAACGGGTTTGATCGCAAACTCCAAGGGGAAGTTTCACGCTGATGAATCTATCTGGCTCTCCCTGACGATATCCTTAGTTGTGTTGGTTTCTAGCAGCTTTGAATGGTTTCAAAAATGATATTTTGAGTAACCGAGGCTAGAAAATGCAAAGCGGAACCAATCTGCTCAGTCCTGGCGATAAAGTGAACGCATGGTTATCGTCCGAATCCAGCTGTCTCCATTGTCCAACCCTGTGAAATTACATTTCACTGAGTTGAAGCACAGTATGGTATTTTCCCTACTCCCGTAATTATTCATTCCCTTGAATTTTAATCGTGTGAGTGTGATGCCAAATTAATCGTCATTTCTGTTGATGTACCTTTGCCTGCTTCGCATGTACTCAACGAAATGAACAAGTTCACTCATTAATCACGCGAGATCCATGGCTGAAACGGATCTCACTCACTGTTTGGAAAATAGTTGTTAGTAATTATTACGCGCAGTCACTCACACATGCAAATTATTTGACTTTCTGTGCAACATGGTCAACCCGAGACAAATAGGGTAGGTTAAGCACTGACTCCTCTAGTCTAGTCAGAAATCCCAAGTTCCATCATTTTTCACGACTTTGGCCGACGCATAAACCACGTTAAACAGCAGCAAGGCTGACCCCTTCGTTGTTTTATTGTTTGNTTGGCTGTCAATGCTAATACGCTAGAGGACGATATAACAAGGTTATCCGATGATGGGTAAACCTGTTTTATCTGTATGCTCCCTGATTAACGCAGTTTTGGGTCTAATGACAATGGATCTCTTTGCTATTATTTCTAATTACCCATCATGTTACTTATTAGTAGCGTACTGATGAATAGCAAAAACAAACGAAGCAAACTGCAATGTACCCCTTGTTCATCCATCCCCTCCTATTTCTTCATTGGAGTCCGAACAACCCATGATACTCAGGCTTGCTGATGGACATTCGGTAACATAATCCGAATGTGTTCATATTTTGGGAAAATAATGGTGAATGTTCACCCTCGGGTGGAATGATGCAAATACTTGGCTTGACTTTTCGTAGTTGATTTGGATTTCCTCATTTATTGGTTTTCCATTACTCGCTTAATGAAGGAAACATTTTTCTGAAGACTGTACCACCAGCGAAACCTCGCCCATCACAGACAGTTTGTATCCGGTAACGTCGAGAATCTTCACGGAGACGGACTTTGACTTCGGGAAAAATCGATCGTAATACTTTATCAGATGTGATAGATTCCGTAATTCCTGTGTCCACAATGAATTTTTGCTTCACGCCAAACTGTAGTACCACACCTTTGTATATGAGATGGGCAGACTCACTCTGGGTTCTTAATGTAAACACAGAACTTGTGTCTTGCTGGGCCAGTGGCTGTGTTAGGTTACATCAGAGCTATTTGTACACTCTCCGTATTTGGTCAATTTTCACGCACCCATTGCACTTAGCATTGCGGAATTGACACGTAACGCAGGTGGTAAGCTCCATACGACAGGTCCTGGTAGATGGTTTGCGCGGTGCGAGAATTATCGCACTGTGGTTTTGATGTATATTTGGACTGGTTTCTGGTCATATCGTTGGAATATAGTTACCGATTCATTGAAAGTTACTTGTGTCTGCTCATTATGTTGTTCACAGACTTTGCGTGCCTCCGCGAACGTCAGGTTTTCCTTTTCCATAAGTTTCCGTTGCAATGTCAATTCGTTAACACCTGCCACCAGACGGTCAAACGGTTGCTCCGCCAGAGGTTCGCCATAATTGCAGTGTGCTGCCTGCTCGTCCAACTGGAGGATGAAATAGCGACAGAATATGTTTTTGGCACCTACCAAGGAATTGAATTTGGCTCTTTCGTGGGCTTGAAACTCAGTGGGCAGCAAGTGAGCAAGCAGCAACTGTTTTAAGGACTCTTGTGGAAGTTTTGACGAAACCTCAGGAACTGCCAGGTTTTTTAGCAGGGAACGTAGGTCCTGGCCGCTCGTGGTGAGACAGTGCCGATTGGTTCTACATACCACTCTTAGAACGCTGCATCACAGATTGAACTTCTCCACCCGCTCCTCGATCGCTGGTATCTCTGTTGTGCGAAGCCAAACTATAGTAATCGAAATAGGTACGAATTACGGATTGCGGATCACGGTCATAATTGAAGCAAAGAATAGTACTAACAATCTTACACTGGGATCTTGCGTCACCAAGATGCAGGAAAAAGGCCACAGAACTGTTTATTGAGGAAAATCAATGGTGTTAAATAACATGTACAAAGGAATGTCATTAATAATACAGGTCCTCATCAATGGCCTGCTTGTTTCTTGATGTTATACAGCTTCTATTTAAAGTGCACGGTTTCTGATTGGTCGGCAAGATTGATAGTGCATTTATGTGCACTTGATCAGTAAATTGGCCATCAACCTCTCTACATCCTTCACACTTGCATTTTGGATTGTTCATTTTTCTCACCAAGAAAATCTATCGGAGTGCTCTGTTGTCTTTCCAAATCTATTTTCTATTTTATGGCTGTACGATGGTAACTTATCAGATTCTGGGCGCGATTCTATCCCACAATTCAATTTATTCCGAAATTCTTCCTGTCTGATAGACTTCGTTCACAAGGAATCACGGTCCTATTTGGACACTATCCGTGAGGAGTATGAACGCCGTCAACGGTCGGGCACCTCGCGTCAATCACAAACCACTCGTCCCGGTATTTCCTCTGAGTCTGCTGACCGAGCTCGCGAAGATTTTCTCAACCGTCATCAAGAAGCGCTTAACAAAAGGACGAAATTTTCCGCTTCAGGAATTATTTCTGACTCCAGTTTATCTGCTTTTAAACAACAGTGGACTGTGTTCGAGTCTTCCACAACTGAGATTCGAAATGCGTCGATGATTCCCTGGCCACCGTTTTGCGGTTCCATGTGCTCGTCGGGCGATCGTGCATTATCAGCTGAGCGTCGAATCGAAACAGTGCTTCATTTTGTGCATCAGAAGTTGGACGAACTTCGGCGGCTGCAAATCCAATGGCATCCGGATCGGTTCGCATCCCGTATTGGCAAGCGTTTGCATGCAGATATCAAGGACTGCGTGATGCAAAGAGTTAATGCCATATCACAGTTGCTTAATACAGCAATGGACAAATTGCGCGGCAAAGATTGACGAGCTGCTTGAATCGATTGACCTCATCCATTGATTCCTACCTTTTTGTCTCAGTGATCCGCGTTCACTTTCAGCAATCTCTGAGAATATTTTTGATCTCAATAAACTATTTCTCATTAAAAAGATGTCCCATATTAAAAACCTGCACCATTTGCATTTTACGTCCTTTGTACTGTATTTTTTGATGGAACAAACTATTTTTCACAATGACAATATGAGTTTTCACTCGAAGTTGCCATGAGAATGCGATGAGTAGTTAACTGTAGCATTGCCTGTCTTGGATAAACTAGGAGACTCAACACAATCGGTGAATCTTAAGTTACATGCGGATGCCTACCGAGGCCATAGCATGCAATCGGTTGCATTTGTCTCAATCTCTGATCTCGTATGGCTCAGTTTTGCATCACTATTTCTTCGGAAGAAGAACCGACCACCGGCAAACATTTTTCACGATCTCGGGATACGGAAGCGGGCCGTATAGACAGCGATACAACTTCAAAACCTGCTTGCTCGCCCACCTATACGGATAGTTCATGTGTATGTTTTAACAGCAAGCTTGCAGAAAATAACTCGGGAACGTTGGATTTCCTATCCATTGGTCCCCATGTCGGGAGGTTTTCCCACAGTATCGCCGGTATTTTGCGTTCTTCTTTTCGCCTGTTTTATCGAAGACAAGCTTTTACGATGAAAGGTTTCCAAACTACACATGTGTGTAGTAGTATCACCCTAAACCCTTGCTATGCATGGCACGTGCTGTTTAGCTTAATACGCGATTTTCCTTCAACGGTATTTATTAAAGCTCTTCAACTTGGAACCTGATTTCTGTGCTAGCGACACATCGTTGAGTTACATTTCTTAATAAACCTACTACTTCTGTCAAGATATTAGCCTGATCTAAGAATAGCTTCTAGCACTCAGAAAATTTCAAAATATACGTTATGTTTCGTCGTCATCAACAGCCGAAGGTCTTCAATTAATGGAGTTAGAAACGCGGAACCATCAGTCGGCTTTGACATCCCACAATACAAACCAACAATGAATGTCTTAGATTTCGGGTACAACAGACGACCAAACTTGTGATGAGCCACGGAATAACGATAACCCATCAATATGCAATTGTAGCCGATAACGACTATCACTTCGGCCCTAGCATATGCGCCTCAGGCACTCTCGCATTCCGAAATGTATATATGTACCATCACCCACACTTATCTTTGGTGTGCACAACAGTGTACGCGGATCGGAGGGCAGTTGCGGAAGAATATCTCGAAACTCTTGTAACATCAATTTGACTGCAATCATGGAGGGCCGAGCTTTTAATGCAAATCTACGCGCCACTAGAAATGCAGTCGGTTTATCCGATAAACAGGGGTGATTATTGTTTAGCATTAACTATTACCTACCAGATAGCTTAGTTTGTGGCGACGATGGTAAACTATCATCGGCAAACAAATAGGAAATGAAAATAGAATTGCTGTTAGCCTCACGCATCATTTGCAACTGTTGCTCCAGTTCATCGAAGTGTTTACGGTGTGTTTCGGAACAATCAATCACATCTTTCATATGGGATTCAGGAGTGGACCTTTGGACAAATGAAATGAATTAGAGTCAGAATGCGTCTTACGTCTCCACCGAGGAAGTTGTTGATGTACGTGAAACATTTACCTCATATCCCAAATTGGATTGATCAAAATGTACCACTGTGTGGATATAACTGTCGTCTGAAGGTTCATCTAGGACAGGATTTATGTCAACCGCATAAATATTGAACACTACATTCACGTATAATACCAAGGTTTTGTTCCTGCAACAGTACTCGTGAAATTGAGCTACGTGCTAGTGTGGGAACTAGGTTATCGGTACCCCGAGCTAATACGTATAGGTCGCAAACGTACGTTCGTACGAGAAGAGAACGAGGCGATTCACGAAACGGAGGACGACGTGTATTGTAAATACCTGCAGAGTAAGGGAGAGATACAAAGGCGTGAGCAAGCGCGCGGAAAGTGAAAGTAAACACGTGCTGACCAAAGACGTGGCCTTGGTGTGATAAAACAATGAGATGCACAGGAGGAAGTGTACATTGAGAACGTGATGTGAATGGTTACTACAAAGCTCCCCCCCTAGAAGGCTAGAGAGAGCCTTCGATAAGGGTGCATGCATTGTTTGTGCGGTGTTCAAATCCCAAAAAAGGATAGTTCTGGTCATTGCTGAGAAAGTATGGATATCAGTTCCAGGTGATGAGGCAGGGATTGCTGGCCCACAAAAGAAATATGGGGAAATGAGAATGTCATGGATAAAGATCTGCAGGTCCGTCGTCGTTTCGCTACTTGCCCCGGTTTGGTTTGTTTTCAGATAAAGTAGGAGGACCGTTGCAGCTGGGCACGAACCAGTAAAAAACTGACGGGGCTGTCAGAAAACGGTCTTTGATACTTATTTTATGCTGGAGCGGTGGGAAGGGTGGAGAACGTGCCAATCTTCTTTCTTGCTGCGTTCTCCTGGTCGAAGTTTTCTTTACGGGTTTTGAGGCCTCTGCATTTTCTTGGCCGAGGGTTTTCTCCCGAGTTCGAATACCGGGCCTGGAAGAGAACGGAAGAAAAAGGGTCCAAGCAGCCCTTGTTGGAGCTGATCGGTGAGGCGAAGACAAACGCAATACGAAAAAGGTGAGGTGTTTTGGGTTTTTTATGTGTATATATGCATACAGGAAAAAAAGTAAACCGTGGTGGAAGAAAAAATAATAAAAACGATGATAAAAGGATTTTTTGGATGGGGGGGTTTTGCATGCGTATTTGAATAGTCAGGTGAAATAAAAATTATCGATATCGCAGACTAAATGCGTTTGTACGTTGTCAAGTTTAAAAACGTGTTACAATGCGAAACGTACGGGTAATTTAAGGACTCTCTCGCGACTAGTGGTCCGATGGGGTGGGTCGGCATCAGGTGCCTGCTCCCGGGGTGTCGCGGAGTTTACCGGGGTGGATGGAGCAGGACTTGTTGGAGCGGGAGTTGCGGGTAGCGCTACGGGTGGGGGGCGAGTAGGGCAAGGAACGGTTTCCTCCAGGTGCGCAGGTTTCAGCCGGTCAATAATGACGGTCTCACGTTTACCGTTGCGCTCTATTACGTAGGTATTCTCCAAGCGTCGTAGTATCTTGTGTGGGCCGCTGTATTGAGGTTGCAGCGGTGCGCGAGCCTCTGCCCTGAGGAAGACATGCTAGCTTTCGGCTAAGCTAGGGGGGAGGTAGGCTAGGGGTGCTTGCTGGCGATGTGTTTGAATATGTAACTGTCGCACGTGATGAACTAAACGAGCTGCATAGTCACCGTAGTTGAAGTCGGTTGGTGGGATCGGTGCCGTCATTTCTCCTGGGAGACGCAATGTGCGACCGAAAGTCAACTCTGCCGGTGTGGACTGCAGATCAGCTTTGAAGGCAGATCTGCAACCTAAGAGGACTAAGGGTAAGGAGTCCTTCCAGTCTGGGTTCGCCTGTGCTGACAGAGCACTTTTCAGTTGTCGATGAAAAAGCTCGACCATCCCGTTGGCTGCCGGGTGGTCGTCTGAACGCGGCGAATGCCTAGGTGCTTAAGTAGTTGTGCGAAAACACCCTCGAAATGAGAACCTCGATCGGTTGCAACTACTGCTGGACAACCGAAGTCAGCTATCCAACCCTCTAGGAAGGCTTGTACCGCTGTTTCGCTGGATGCGGAAGACAAGGGCATAGCTACCGGCCACCGGGCGAAACGATCTATACAAGTGAGTATACAGATAGATGGCGGCAGGGGTCCCACTAAATCTTCGTGAACGTGGTGGAAACGCTCGTCGACGACGGGGAACGAGCCTAGTGGGCTCTTTGTGTGACGAATAATTTTGTTCCGTTGGCAGGACAAGCACTTGGCGGATGTCATTTTTGATGTTGTGCCACGCGAAACGGTCAGTTATGAGTTTCACTGAGGCGCGGATGCCTGGGTGTGACAAATTATGCAGTGTCTCAAAAAACGTTTTGCGTAAGGTCGATGGGACTACTGGTCTAGGGTGACCTAGGGAAACATCGTAATAGACTTTGTTGTCTGAAGACGGAAGTGGTAGATGTTCGATGCGGAGCGTTGATTGCTTGCAAAGTAGCTCGATATCGGTGTCGCAGGTTTGCGCTGTGGCTATGTCGCGTAAGTCTATGGTTTTGGGGTAGGGGTTACCCAAGTGATGAATGCGAGAGAGGGCATCTGCGACAAGGTTGTTAACACCAGAGATATGTTGTACATCACACGTAAATTCCGTGATGTAATCAAGGTGTCGTGACTCTCGTGGAGAGTGTCTGTCGGTGGTAGACATAATGTCGTGAGTGATAGGACGGTGGTCTGTGAAGACCGTGAAGTCTCGTCCTTCAAGGAGATGGCGGAAGTGGCGGATACCGAGGTAGATTGCCATGAGTTCTCGGCCGGAGGCGCTGTACCTTGACTCGGACGGTTGGAGCTTCTTGAAGAAAAAAGCTATGGGGTGCCATTCGTGTCTCACTTGTTGCTGGAGGACGGCGCCAACTGCTTGGTCGGACGCATCGGTTGCCAGTGCTAGTTTGGCGGAGGAGTCTAGGTGGGTTAATGTTGTTACCTTGCTGATTGCTCGTTTCAACGCATCGAAGGCGTCTCCATCGGCTTGTGTGAACACTAACGTTTTTGTTTTACCCATAAGCAGATCAGTGAGTGGCTGCATCAGTTGTGCACACTGAGGGA